TATCCAGAATGGTTGCATCCTTAATGTGTGAGAGTTCCCATTGGCCACATCTTCAACAGCATTTGGTATTGTTGTTGCTGTTGTTGTTGATAGCTGCTGTCAAATTGGCAGCCAGCTCATGGCAACCTCATATACAGAAAAACGAAAGCCTGCCCAGTCCTGTGACATCCCCACAATGGACTGAGAATCAGATTGTGGTGATCCATTGAGTTTTTCTTGGCTCATTTTCAGAAGTACATTGCCAAACCTGTCTTCCTAGTCTATGTCAGTCTGGAAGCTCCCTTGAAACCTGCTTAGCATCATTGCAACAAGAAAGCCTCTACTGACAGACAAATGGTGGCTGAGAGTAGGGTGCATTGGCTGGGAATCAACCCAAATCTCTTGCAAAGAAAGAACCACCAATAGATGCTTTCATTTTGGCCAATTTGATGAGTGTGAAAAAGTATGTCATTGTGCTCTTAATCTGTATTTTCTGGATTATTGAGATTGGGCACATTTTCATACATTTCTTGGCTAGGATTCCTGTTCTATAAAATGCCTGCTCATGTTGTATGCCTACTTATTTGTTTTTTGAAAAATCACCTTTTAATTAAAAATAAGACTTCCTCATATATTCAGTTATCTCTCTATATATCTATATAAACTAAACTTTCACATCTGACTTCTTCTTTTTTCATTTTTTGCAGTTTCTTTTTTAATACTATTGTGGTGAAAACATACACAAGACATCTGATTTCTTTTAACAATAATAATAGCCTACATAACACAAAGCCTTATAGTTTTATAAATTGTTCTAGTTATGAACACAACAAATGTTTTCATTCCCTTTACTCTCTGATTGTCTAAAACACAAAACTAGATCCTATGTCAGACACATAATGATTACTATCAAACGAAAAACAAACAAACCACTATTGACACTACTCATTTGACTACTTGAGAGAGTAGAATAATGATTTTTTTGCCTCTGAATAGATTTTCCTTACAACATTACATTTCAGAGGTGGGGGGAAAAAACTTTCAACCTCCCCCCCGGACCATGGTCACTTTCAGATTATATATCTCAGAGACATCTAGGCCTTATTCTCTCTTATTTTGGCTACAAGTAACTGAGAAAAATAGTTAGATGTACTTTCAACTTTCTTTCTACTAAATACTCCCCAGCAGAAAGGGGCTTCCTGTGGTGGTCGGTATCCTCTCAGTGGAGTGCTAGGTGGGCCAGGCCCCTGAAAATGAAAACAAGTGTGCTGCCCAGTCCTGGAACCCGCCCTCCATGCTTATAATTCAGCTAGCAAATGTGTGAGCTATTTGAGTAACAGTGAGTGCAAGCAGTAGAAGGGCTATCTCATTTTAATTGCTGGATTAAAATTGAAGATGATACAGGATCAGAGGAAGAAATGTGTGCTCTTGATTCTACCTCAAGTCAGGTCTGTTCCCTCTGCATTTCCTTTGTCTTTCAGATCGCTGATGGAATAGGTCAAGTGCAGGGTGGCCCTGCATTCTGTCATCCCATCATTGCAGCGAGATCTACCATGCCCCAGGTGGTCTCCCAGTCAGCCCTGCCATGCAGCCAGAGCCTCCTCTGCTCTCTGAGATGGAAGTACAGAGGAGAGTCCCCTTTTAAGATTCACTTTCACTCCAGCCCAGGCTCAGAACTCACAGGATTTAGAAAAACTAAAGTACAGCTCATAAAAAAAAAAAAAAGAAAAGAAAGAAAAACTGGGGCCCTGGTATAGCTCTCTAAGAGCCTCTTGCAAATTGACTGAGAGAGTGAATCTCAAACTTTCTAATTGTAGGCATTGATCAGGAGGTGATATTTGAGCCACTGTCCCAAATCCCCTTTTACTCACCCCCTTTTGGTGACTGCTCCAGTGGTTCTCAGTTGGTGGTGATGTTGCCCCAGGAGACATTTGGTAATGTCTAGGGATATTTTTGCTTGTCACACTTGGGGGAGGGGAGGGAATTAATGGTGGCTAGTGGGTAGAGGCCAGGGATGCTGCTAAAATCCTACAATGTATGGAAGGGACAGCCCCAAGCACAAAGCATTATCTGGCCAAAAATGTCAATAGAACCAAGTTGAAAACCCCTAATCTACTTCTACTTCTGACCAGTTTAGGTTACAAAACCACAGGTAACTGGCTCCATAGCTGGATCCCCAGTTCCACATGTCTTCATACAGAACATGCTTTAATAGGTTATTAGGCCAACTCCTCCTGCTGCACCTGGAAACAGAGCACTGGAAAGAGGGCCAGAGGTCTGGGGCTGAGTCACTGACTCTCTCCTCTTAGAGCGCTCCGTGTGTGGTCTGGATTCTAGTCTCACATGTCACTCTTGAAATGCAGTCTGGTGCAGTCTAGTCCCTCAGGGGGACAAACTTGTAGATGGCATGGATAACGATAGGGGCTCCTCTGTATTTCACCTCTCATGTGATTTTCATTAAGTAATTCTGAATAATATGATCTTGTGGTTGTTGTTGTTGTTGTTGTTGTTATACGCCCTCGAGTCGGCCCCGACTCATAGCGACCCCTCCTTGGGTTTCCGAGGCAGTATCATTGCGGAAGTAGATTGCCCTGAGTGGCTGGTGGGTTTGAACTGAAGTAGATTGCCCCATCTTCCTTCCGAGGAGCGGCTGGTGGGTTTGAACCGGCAGCCTTCTGGTTAGCAGTCAAGTGCCTTAGGCACTACGCTACCAGAGCTCCTGTGGTTGTTGTTAGCTGTTGTGAAATCTATTCCAACTCATGGTGATACCATGAGGAGAACTTCTCCATAGAGTTTTCAAGTCTGTGACCTTTGAGAAGCAGATCTCCAGGCCTATCAACCGAGGTGCCTTTGAGTAAGTTTGAACAGCCAACCTTTTGACTAGTAGTTGAGCATCTATGGATAGTCAATCAGTCAGTCGACAAATATATGCTGGGTGCTCGCTAAGGCTAGGCACTGTGCTGTATGCTAGATGGACAATAACTCCTCAAGTCTACAAAGGTCACAGCATCTGCCAACTAGCAGCTGTCAGGTAGACTCTGACTCATGGCAACCCCCTGTGTATCAGAGAAGAACTGTGCTCATAGGGTTTTCAAAAGCTTGTTTTTCTGAAATATGTCCCCAGGGCTTTCTTCCAAGGCACCTCTTGGTAGACTTCACCAGCATCCTTTCAGATAGCAGCTGAGCACTGTTGGCACCACTACAGCATTTACAAGAGTTTGTTTCCTCCGAGATGCAGTAGAGAGATCTCCCTCCAGAGATTCTGATTCCTTAGGTCCAGTAATTTGGATTTTTAGCAAGCACCTGAGGTAATTCTGATACAGGCTTGACCTTAGGATCACGCTTTAAGAAACACTGATTGTTGTTATGTGCCGTCGAGTCGGACCTGACTCATAGCGACCCCTCCTTGGGTTTCCAAGGCAGTATCACTACGGAAGTAGATTGCCCTGAGTGGCTGGTGGGTTTGAACTGCTAGCCTTCCAGTTAGCAGTCAAGTGTCTTAGGCACTATGCTACCAGAGCTCCTAAGAAACACTGATAGAAATTATGAAATCCAGTCCACCGAATTCCAGGCCCGAGAATATGCAGACCTGAGCTGTAATGTGGTTAAGTCTTAAAACTGAAAAAAATTATGTCAAGTTTCTCATTTTAAAACACAAAGAAAGTAAGACCTGGTTACTGGTTCAAATGGATGCTGGCAGGGCAGAACGACCTCATGGAAGTAGATGCAAAACACTTTCAAAGGAATGAAATGATAAGACTTTTACTTCAAACAGTGAATTTGCATAGCACATAACAGAATGAGTACTGACCAAGTACGTTCACTTCAACAGCAATTAGTGCTTACCTTAAAGGTATAAACACACACCTCCTCTACAAACTACCTCAGCATAAAATAAAACCTAATTTGACTAGGGAATAGCGATCCTTCTGAGTTACCAAGATAAATGTTTTCTCCGATTACCCTCAATCTATTTTCATTCAAATCCCCTCTCAAACTTACATAATTAACACCATGTGACTTTTCACAGAACCACTTATTTTAGCAGCTCATTAACTGCCATTAGAGGCCCAAATCTAAACCTTATTCTGAGCAAAACTTTTTTAAGACATTAGAAATACCTTAACACTCATCTATGTCTAATATCAAGGAACATGAGAAAACACACACACACACACACACACACAAACACACAGGCAATCACTTTAGGCTCAATTACTCTACCCAAAATTATTATGATCAATTTAATAAAATAAATCCACATAAAGAATCTCATAATAATATTTATATAACAGATTAAAATTAATGTATCAAATTATTACAGGGATGGGGTATGGACTAAATGCCATAATATCACAGAAAACATGCTAGCATCCCTTAAGACAATTAATACAAAATGCATCTCTCTTCAACTCTTATATCTAAGAACCTCCTCCCTTTCTATTCCTTTAACTGAACTTTTGATCTTTATTATACCCTCAAATGTCTCTAAGTTCCTATTCTTGCCCTTATTTGCTTTTTTGCTCCAGGTAACCCCACCTCAACTCCCTGAGCCCACAGAGAGGACCTTGAGGCACAATGGGCTCACCAAAGAAGACACTTTGCGTTGACACAGAGATGGACATCAGAAGGCTGTTTCAGTCTTTGTGGGCCTATCCAAAGCCAGTCAAAATATTAATGAATTTTCAAACACCCAGGAAATGACCCTTCCATGATAAATGGAGAAAAACTTACAGTTGTCTGTGTGATCTGCAACCTTAATCCATCTCGCGTAGCTCAGATCCCACATCCCAAGGAACTCCATCCCATCACTATCTTTCTCTGAACCAGAGAACCCCCTGCCAGCGTTTTGGAACTTTCACCCAACATATCAATTTGAATGTAAATCCCCTACCCCCACCAGGTCAGATTTGCTGCGGGATCCATTTTTAAGTTGACCCGGCTTCCTGCAGACCAACATGCAAATAGTGGGTGCTCAAGTGTAAGAACCCCAGAAGTAAAGAAGAAATAGCCACCAATACCTATTTTCCCAGCCTCCACTTTCAGGTTGAACTCCCAGTTCCTTGGCAACTTCAGGGACATTTTGTTCCAGTTCGAGTGAGTAACCGATGAAGCGGTGAGTTTGTCACAATCCGCGCCCTTCTTGCCTCTTCGATCTTCCCCTCCAGCTTTTGTGGTTTATTCCTTTTTATGATTGCTTCAGAAGCAATCTTGGGTTTGAGGTTGATTTGCCAGCATACCTCTTCCTTCTCTCAGATAAAAGGTCCATCTGTCTGTCACTTGGGGATGACACCCAAACTCTCCCTACTCCCACCCACGTCCCACGAAGCTGGACCCTCCTGAAAGGCACACCCGCTTCTCTTGCTTTCAGTTTTACCAGAAATATCCCAGTTGACACTTCGCTCTGCGTCATGGGAAGCAAAGCTCCTGTTCGAAAGAATCTCAGGCCTCGCTGAGGCGAGGCTGCGATAAACAACTGCTGCTTTTCTGCTTTTTCTTTTTTTTTTTTTTTTAACTGTCTGTTTCCTTGCATTTGAGGAAGTGGGTGGCTGTTCAGTGTAGATGATGCATTTTGAGCACTTTTTCTTGAGAAAATGGTTTTTGGAAATGCTTATAAAAGTTGAATGAGTGCTCTTGTGTCATGAAGTACAGATTTGATAAAAACAAAATCCCAAGAAGCCCACAATATACCTCAGCTCTCAACTCTCCTCCTCCTCCTTTATGGCTGAAAAATCCAAGAAGAGTCAGTAATACAACCACCATTTCCTAAAGTACCTTCTTTAAAACTCTTCCACCCATAAGGACCGCAAAGCAATTTCTTTACATGTTCGGCATAGACGTTCCAAATGATCCCAGCCTAATGTGGGACGAGTTATGATGTGTTAGCTAGTAAGTTCACTTTAGCTGGGTAGACTCACTAGCATGTTTTAGAGGTTCTTTGGTATTGTGTTCAGCTCTACATGAGTTAAAAACTCAGTTCTTACATTTCTTAGTTCTTTTAACAAGAAACTGAATACCCCTGGGCTTAATGTCCTCAGCAGTAAAATGGAGTTGATGATAACCATGACTTCACAGGGTTGTTGTGAAGGCATCTAGTGCAGAATTTGACATAAAATGATTGCACCACAAACATTAATCCAACCCTTATTCTATTTAGTTCCGTTCAGTAATAGTTTTTCATGTCTAACTGGGTCAGTCTAACAGAGGGACTATGTATTTGGGGCCTGGAACTAGACTGTGTTCAAAGCCTGCCTCTAATACTTTCTTCCTGAGTGATGTTAGACAAGTTACTTGATCACTCTGTGCTTCAATTTCTTCATCTGTAAAATGAGGCAAATAATAAGGCCTATTAAATCATATACAGAGAGTACTCAGAACAGTCACTACTGATCAGCATACAAACTGCCAATCTCTGGTCCATTCACTCTTCTACACTCTGGACAACTCTGTCTTACTTTCTCCTTTGCCTTCTCTACATGCACACTGTCTATTGATGACTGTAAATCTCATCTTCATCACCAGTTTTATCAAACCAGTGCAGGGAGGCTGAGATCATCTACTTCTGCCGCCAAACATGTGGAGGATAATCAATCACTCTCCATAGGCCACCTGCATCCTATGGAAATCTCAGCTTCCCTTCCCTGGTCATTTTGGGCCCTAGCTACCATCATAGCCCTTTGGAGCTACATCAGTGGATATTGGACCCTTCTTTGTTTCACAGGTCTGGTAATCCATTGGAATAGACTCACAAACTTCAGGAAAAAGCCTACTTTTAATCTAGAAGAAAAAAGAATGCAACCACACAGGGCACAGTCAAGAAGGGATCTTGGCACAAAGCTTCCATGTCCCCCAGGAACACATTTACCCTCCTGAGAGCAAATGTTTGCTCTCACCAGCCAGGAAGCTCCATCTTCCAAGGTCTTAGTTGGCCTCATCACATGGCCATGATAGATTACATCATGCCTCCTGAGGCTTAGTCAGTATTGGCCCTCAGGTAGTCCCTTTGATCAGTCCCTACTCGTTGGCCTCAGGTGTGGTCTAGCTTTCAGGAACCAGGAACAGCAATCAAATTTTTTATTGCAAGGATATTCCACACCTAGCAATGACCTTGCTTCTTGTTTCATTAAGAAATTGATTAATTGGAGGAGAATATTCACAAGTTCCTATCACATCTACCTACCTACTTGCATGTAAAACTGTACACTTGACCTACCCCCTGTTAAAATTATCTCTAGCAAATCTCCCCTATCTTAACAGCATCATCAATTTCTTCTCTCTCTAATTCACATAAGCATTCTAACTATGCCATCTTTTAAAAAAATCTCACTTGATTTTAAAAATCCCTTTTAGCTATTGCCCCATTCAGTCCTTCATTTCTGAGCAAAATGTTGTTAAGAATCATCTACACTTGCAAAAATCTTTCACCTTTTGCTTTCCTAAATTCCCTTTAAGGTTTTTGCTCCCATGACTCTACAGAATGTTCTTATCAAGGACACCAATGACTTTCCTGCCACTAAACCTACTGGTCATTCTCCATCCTCATCTCATTCACCTACCAATAGCATTTGACACATATGGTCACTTTCTCCAACTCCATGTTCTCTCTTTACTTGGCTTCTAGGAACCCTCACTGACCTGGTTGTCTGCCTGCCTTTCTGGCTGCTCCATTTCAGTTTCTTTGCTGATTCTTCCTCATCTTTCTGACCTCTAAACTTTGGGGGAACCCAAGATTCAATCTGTGAACTTCTTTTTCATGTATCTTCTGAGGACTCCCAATGTGTTTTTCTAGCCCAGACTACCCACCCTGAACTCAGAATCATACACATATCTATTTATACCTCTAATAGCCATCTCCACCTAAATGTGTCCACAACGTAATTTGTATATTAGCACCCTCTTTAGTACACCCGCTTGCTGTGTTCTGTGCTTTTAATAGCTGGAAAATCCATCCTTCCTTCTACTCAGATCAAATCTGACCATTATTCTTGACTTCTCTCACACCTCACATACAGTTCATCCCTGACTCCTCTCCTTCTCTTGTTAAGGTGAAAGACTGAAGGCTCTACTCCAAAATGATTCCAGAATTTGACCACTTCTAATCAGCTTCAGATCCCTGGTGGTGCAGCAGTTAAAATGTGCAGCTGCTAAGTGAAAGGTTGGCAATTTGAACCCACCAGGAACTCCATGGGAGAAAAATGAGGCAGTCTGCTTCCATAAAAATGTACAGCCTTGGAAACTCTGTGGGGGCAATTCTACCTCATCCTGTAGGGTTATTCTCAATCAGAATCACTTGATAGCAGCTTTATTATTAGCACCCAAGTGTCTCTCACCTGGATTTGTACAATGACCTCCTATCTGGTCTCCCTTCTTTACCCTTGCCCCAGTTCAGTCTATTTTCACCTTAGTTGTCAGAGTGATCCTGTTACAAAATAAGTGATATGCCGTTCCACTGCACCAACGCCCCAGTGGCGTCTCAACTCAGAGTGGAAGGCAAAGAACTTACTATGACCTACAAAACCTACATGGTCTGCCCACAGACCACCACCTGCCCCTATCATTTCCCCTCTGAACTAACTTCATTCTTCTTTCTCCATGTCTTTCTCCCCTCTAACCATACTGATCTCCTTGCTATTCTTAAAGATGTCAGATAAACTCTTACCTAATTGCCAGACTATCTAAAATGTCAAACCCCACCTCCCTCATGCCCCTCCCCACATTTTCTTATTTTTTTCTTAGCACTTTTCTCATCTAACAAACTGTATGTCTTTTGTGTTTGTCTATTTTGTTTTCTCTCTATGCCACTAGAGTGAAAGCTCCATGAGTGCAGTGATTTATTTGATCTGCTTTATTTACTGCTGCACCCTCCATGCCCAGAATAGTGCCAGAACTTTGTAGGAACTCAGTAAGTGTTCATTGAATGAATCAATGATAGATAACTGAATAAATGAGCAGTGTGTGATATACAGTGCTCCATAAATATTACCTCACATCAGTCAGGGTTAGGAATGGGCTCCACATATTTTTCGTTTTGCCTATTGTTCTTGGAAGCCTAAGGATTATTTTAATTTTTTTTAAATCTCACTAACCTTGCTAGGAGCTCTGGTAGCATAGTGCTTAAGGCACTTGACTGCTCACCAGAAGGCTGGTGGTTCAAACCCACCAGCCTTCCTCGGAAGGAAGGTTGGGCAATCCTACTTCCGTAGTGATACTGCCTTGGAAACCCAAGGAGGGGTCGCTATGAGTCGGGGCCGACTCGACGGCAAACAACAACAACAACAACCTTGCTGGCTATAAGCATTCCCTGACCAAAATGGGCCAAACTGGCTACAAAAATTCTCTTCATTTCTTACCCACACTCTGAGCGACAAATTTCTTAAATCACTTGTCACATCTCACAAGATGGAGACAGAGCTTATTAGAAGCTCCTATATTAAATTATAACCTTTGTTTAGAGTACAATATATGCTAGGTACTGTTTCATGTGCTGTATATGCATTAAGTCGTTTGATTTTCAAAACACACCTATAAAATAGGTACTATTAATAACCTTAAGGAGCTTTGGTGGTGTAGTGGTTAAGGCATTTGGCTGCTAACCAAATGGTCCTTGGCTCAAACCCACCAGCTATTCTGCAGAAGAAGGACAGGGCAATCTGGTTTCGTAAAGATTTACAGCCTTGGAAACCCAATGGGGGTTGTTATGAGTTGGAATTGAATCGATGGCAGTGAGTTTGGTTTGTTTTTTCATTAATAAGCTTATTTTACAGATAAGAAAACAGACATCAAGAGGTCACTCAAGGTCAAAAAGGGAAGACTGCTCTCTTCATTTTATGCCTGTATTGAAATGGTGAATTCCAGAAGCAGGGGACTTGACACTTTCCAATTGCTTTCAGGGTGGTGTGGGTCATTTGTGTGATCCTGAGGCTTTAGGAAAAGGCAGATCATGAAAGGAAGTGCATTAAAGAGAAAGTGAGGAAGAAGTGTGGGGTCAGTGAGGTGACAAATAATTCTGTTTTCAGGATTTTACTCTTCTCTTTCTATGTCATTCCACAAACCAACAGAAAATTTTATATATATATATATGTATATATATATATATAAAGATTGTAGATATGATTGTATGACATGTGGAAGGCAGCAGGCAGTGTACCATTCCACTAAATCTAACCCAGAACAGAAGCAAGTTGGCCTGTTCAGGTTCATAAGTGGAGACAGAGGGAAGCAGAAGGAAGAAGAACACTGGCATCTTTCATAAGAGTTCCTCAATGGGATCTCAGGCTCTTCACTAAGAATTAAGTCAAATTTATTCAAATTTTTGAAGATGAGAAATTCCCAGATGAATACCTGGATTTCAAACTGTACAGCAATTTAAGAGTGTATGCGTCAGTCATTGCTCCAATATAGTTTATAATAAACAACCCTGAAACTCAGATGCTTAAAACAAAAAGCTTTCTATTTTAGGCGTGGATTTGTGGGTCAACTGCAAATTG